CCGGCCCTCCCACATCAATCAGTAATCAAGAAAATACCCACAGGTCAATCTAGTGGAGATATATTCTCAACTGAAGTTTTTTTCTTCTCAAATGACTCTAGATTGTGTGAAGTTGAAAATGCCTAACCAGGACAATGACATTGTACACACATTTACTATTTTTTAATTTTTAAATATTGTATATGCATTTGTATTTAGGTATGTAGGGGAAACTATCTGTGTGAGTGCATGCTACACTTGGCATACATGTGGAGATCATACAACAGTGTCTTTTGTTGACCATCAGGACCTTTCTTCTTTTTCTTTGAGACATGGTCTCTCATTGGCCTGAAACTTCAGTCTAGTTTCCAGGAATGTCTCCCCTCCCATGTTATAATCCTTGGGAGTACAAACAAAGTTTGTACATGGGTTTGGAGGTATTGAACTCAGGCTCTCTTGCTTTCAAAACAAGCAAGATATACAAGTGAATACACACATGTTCAATACACACAAATGGATTTCATGAAAGTTTTTATGAAAAGGTTTTATTTTATAAAATAGAATTCAGCCAACAAGCTTTGATGTTCTAGCCGATTTTAATTCATCTCATTTCCACCCATCATGTTTCATTTATTTGACCTATCAGTTTTTCAATAAATATTTTTGTTTGTTTGTTTATGTTTTTTGAGACAGGGTTTCTCTGTGGCTTTGGAGGCTTTCCTGGAACTAGCTCTTGTAGACCAGGCTGGCCTTGAACTCACAGTCATACACCTGCCTCTGCCTCCTAAATGTTGGGATTAAAGGCATGTGGCACCACCACCCTGCCAATTTTTCAATAAATATTTAAGAGTCTCATTCTCTTATAGTCTGCATTCAGATCAACACTATACACACTTACTCATAATTTCAAAATTAGTTACTGGGCATACCATTAACTACAAAGTTACAGAGTTCTGTTCCCTGTAGAAGCTAAGGACTTAGGACTATGTTCAGTGTAGCTGCAGGAGAACTGGGCTGCAAAAACAGGAATGACTCCCCGATGATGAACAAATTAAAATTAGATTTTAAAATATGGATGGACAGGTGTGACAACAAGAAAATTCTTCCGCAAATAGTTTGGTTGTCTTTGTAACTTCTCTCTGCGTTAGGAGCAGCATAGCTTTGGTGACCACTGTGCCAGCCGCCTTCCTTCTAATGCCTTGTCTGCATTGTTCTGTATTTTCTGGTTCCTCAAATAAGTTTAGTCAGCATAATTTAGTACAGAAGACTCATTAGTGTTGTCTAGAAAAGTGGTGTCACTGAACTGCCTCTTGGTTTTCAAACAATTGTCAAGCCTGGCTGTTAACTTTATTTGCATCATGTTGATGCTTTTACTCTATTCATCTTGTCCCTCTTTGTGAGCAACAGCTGTGGCTATTCATGAAAATTTCTTGGCTCTCTACATAAGGATGAAGTGCCTTTTAAAGCTGTGGCATCTGAGTCATTGCTGGCTCACTAGCTGGCATCCTGAAGTTCCTGAGACATCTGACATGGTGGCTTTGAGAGCTCTTTTCCTGCTCCAGCCAGTTACAATTAAGCCCTTCACCTTTTATTCACCTTGTAGGGACATAACTGAAACCAAAGCACCATTTTTCCAGAAAGTGATATGCTTCCAAAATATTAGGTAAAACTGATTATACAGGTACATATTCAAACCTTAACATGCCAAAGTCATGCAAATTCTTGTACAAAACTGATATAGTGTGTGAAAATAGACTAAATAGTATTGAGTTATAATATTAGGACATAGTAAAACAAGCGAATAGAGTACCAGGTACATGTGAGTTTCAGCATAGTCAGAGAGTAAATCGCCATAGGCTAAATAAGCAATAGGCTAAGATTCTAAAACTTCTCATAAGGTAGATGATAGAGTCGTATAGCCACTGAAGATGGTGAAGCACACAGTAGATGCTCAACAAATCATTGATGAGTAAAGTAATATGTGGTTCAATGTAGTTAGGTTAGTGAGATGGGAAACAATGGTCTAGCCTGACATGGAGTTTGAGGCAGCAATACTATCTAACAAGAACAATAAAATATATTCTGCTCATAGGAATAGAGCTTTTTGTCCTTTGGACTCTCTGATTCTTCCAGCTGTGCATCATCGGCAGATTTGAGTCCCAGGTGTGTAATTATAGCTGGAGAAAGTCAGGGGCCTGCAGGTGCATCCTGTGCTTGATTGGAGCAAGGGCAGAGGTGCTTGCATTTCCAGGAGGTTCTTACATTAGCATCGCTGAAGAACATTTCCAATTCCAAGTAGAGTTTTATGTGTAACAGTGGAATGTGTCCAATTTGTAAGCCAAGAGATCTTCTCAACTCTTCAGGACATTATTTTGCATTCATCTGCTCCCAGACAATCAAGAAACCCAAGCAAGGTTTATAGGCCTTGTATAGTTATGAGGCATGCTAAAATGGGTTAAGCTTTCCTCTGCATCTCAGGCACCATCTTAACATCAATTACCAGAGTCCTTTTCTTGTGGAGGCAGTAAGGGGTAGAATCACACAAGAGTTTGAACATAAATCCTGTATTAGAAGTCTCAGGGAGTCCCACCTACTCCAACAATAGACCATGCATATCTTGCTTTCTTCCAGTAGTTTATATCCCAGCCAGTCACTACAACTGAAATGTTAGTGGAGTAGGTAAGTAAATGCCTACTTTATTTTATAAAATACATGACAAAATTTTAGGTAAGGATAAGAAGGTCTGTTTTACTGGAAAATATTGAGGTGTTTTAGAAATAAATGCTTACCAGTCTTTCAAAATCAATGTTTTCAAGAAACTGGTATTAATAAGCATTATTAGATTATGTATTCTTGTACTTATGCTCACTAAATTAGCTTTAAATTATTTTGTTTAAATAAGAGAATTTTGAACATCCAACAACTTTCTGATAAGTTCCTACTAAAACATATGGGGGGACTGAAACAATAGATAGTTGTTTTCATTAACATTTTGTGTAAAAAAATGCATGCATACATAAACATTTGTACTTTAGAGAGATTGGATCTGAGCCAATACAGCAAAGTAGGGTAAAAATATGCCTGCAAAGTACAGTTAACTCCATGACTAAATGTGTGAAGAGAAAACTTAATTCGGCAATATTGGAATGAGGTATATTTTGAAACACAGGCTTCTTTTGGAAGTTGTGTCAAATTACTTGGCTGAACAAGAATAACAGGCAATGTATTTGTATAAAACCCAGCTGCTGTTTCTGCTATTTGGTAATGAACTGCTTTTTGTATATGAAGATGATGACACTAACCAACTGGAAGTATGGCATATGCTGAGTACAGTCTCCAGGAGTGAAGCTGGATTACTTCAATCTTTCACACTATAGGGCCCAGCCTCTTTTGGATCTCATGCACATATTTGTGCAAACGAGGTATAGTCTGTGACTAAGTGGCAGAGCCAAACCAACTGGCACATGAAGGGTTCAAATCCATGACTTTGGCATATTTAGTCCTGCATTCAAACACACTGAGATAATCATTTACAGAAATCACTGAATATCACAAATGTGGATCCTCACCAAGAGGCACAAATAATAAGTCTTTGTTCTATTCTCTCCTGACTGTAAGTGGCCCACTTCGTAATAGTTTTAGGTCATTTCATAGGAAATTATTTATGTTAAAATAGACTACATTACTTATAACATGTGAATTATTTTCCAATTATTAAAGATTGTCACTAATTACAATGCTTATTCCTACTTGTTAGTTGTTAAAGACATCTAATATTCAAAGGGAACTTTCTAATATTTACCACTTTGTTGTTGTTACTGTGATTCTTAAAGACAACAAGGAATATGATGCGTATCTTTCTTACACAAAAGTGGATCAAGATACTTTGGACTGTGTCAATACTGAGGAAGAGCAGTTTGCTCTTGAAATACTGCCAGATGTCCTAGAAAAACACTATGGATATAAACTCTTCATCCCAGAAAGGGATCTGATTCCAAGTGGAAGTAAGTAACTTTGTATTTTGTATTTAGAACAACTTTCTTTCAGCAAATTATATGGAAGCAGCAAGCCTCAGAGCCAACTTTTTAGAAAACTGTTTCTCACAGTACATGGGTTTTCAAATTCAAATTTCTCCTTGTGTATATTGTGACTTTGGAGCATCTGAAGTTTTTGGAAGGTATTCTCATTTATAATTTAAGTATGTTTTTGAAACTTATACTATAAATGTGGTTTCTTTTTTTTTTTACTACATCGCTTTAGTTTCTGAGGTAATAATGACACTTCATTTAAAAACAAGCTGTAAAATTCAGTTAAAGCTACTTCAGTGTACTGAAGTTCCCAAGTTGGACTTCTGTCACTGTGTTTCTACTTATAAATACAATAAATGTCACTAATAACGTTGAATTTTTGCCTTTTCATCCTTGTTATTCACTATGCCTTGTCACTCATCCACAGATTTATGGAAAAATCCACTTTAAAAAGTGTATGACACCATTGGGAGCAGTATTTTCTGTATGTATTTAGTATTTAAAGTTTAAGATGTGCCAGACACTGTAGGTTTGAATGCTACTTTTCAGTAATGCTACGTATTGAAAGCTGCATTTGAGCTTTCAGAGTAAATCCAGTTTCAAGTCAAAATGCATGCTTTGTTCTTGTTAAAAACATGTGCTTTGTTCAGAACATTTGTACGTGGTAAAATACAAGAATAACATAGTCCTAAGAGATCATCCCTGCCCTCAAAGGGACAATTTAAATTTTATTTAATATTTTTTAATTTAAAAAAAGCATTGAGGAAAAGTCAAAGGACTATAACATATGTGTCTGTTAAAATTCTTAAATATGCTAATCTATACACATGAAATAACTACAAAAATCTTTATCTTCAGACATGATATCATTTAATACAATTTGACATACATTATAATTTATCACATTTCAGACTTACAGTTCTATGTGTATGCTTGTGTGTGTATCTGTGTGTGTGTGTGAGAGAGAGAGAGAGACAGAGAGACAGAGACAGAGAGACAGAGACAGAGAGACAGAGACAGAGAGACAGAGACAGAGACAGAGACAGAGGAGTGTTTATGTATATATCTTCCAGATGAGGAAACAAAGGCACAAAGAAACCCAAGATCACATGGCTGTCCAAAATAGAGCTGGAAATAGAACATAGATCTTTCTCTGCTAGATCATTCTGTTTCTCAGTAATATTTATTCAGATCACCATCAGTTCACCATGGTCATTAAGCTAATGAGAAACAAATGGGAACCAACTGTGTTTTTATTATTTCTCTTTCTTCTTGAAGGTCATGTGCATGTATGTATGAGTGTATTTACCAGTACGTGCATATAATGTGTGTTGGAAGGTCCAAAGAAAACAGTATTTACAAGTTAATTTCTTTTTCTCAATTAAAATGTCTCTAAGCTTATTCTCCCCATGGTCTCTCTACTCTTTTGGTAATTTTACCTGCTTTCATAACTTGAAATAAAATGCTATAGCAATAGATTGCATAAGGACTATCCCAATGCCTAAGAGTTGTTTCTATGACTCAGTGCCGTTCTCCCAAACCATGTCCCTTGGGTCTTTTCCATTCTCACTTCTAATATCTCAGCTTACACAGCAATTTTATTATTCCTACAATATTGATTATAGCTCTACTTTCCTTATACTTCCACTGTTCCAGGTAATCCATTAACATGTGTATATCTCCAACAGTGCCAAAACACTGGACGACAAACTTTGATTTTTCCCTATTTCCTCCAGGATAAAATATGTATCCCTTCCTTAAACACTTTTATAATTGGCTGCTTGCCCAGATTATTCTCCTATCAACTACTTTATTTGCTACCTACTCAGAGTCTCCACTCTAACCAAGTTATGCATATGAGTTGTGTATACCTGAACTGTTTTTGTTCATGTTAACCTTCTATGAATTTGAAGATCCTATTGATGATTTTCCATATCACTTACTGATTTTGTGGAAAATCAGTAGTGATTTCTTCAGCCCTTAAGTTCATAGTGTATATGTACTTTTTGACTATAAATTTGTAGACCTATGATATTTTGCTTGGTTATAACTTTAGGTAGCATTCCATTTACTTATATCCTACGAATATTATTATAAGTTCCATGAGAATTGTACTGAATTTCATTTATCTTCATACTAATATTGTCATCTAATATGATTTAAAGTGATTTGGTGCCCCATAATAACTGTCCATTTTTTCAACAGTGTTAGTTTCAGAGAAGAACAAGTAATGAAAATAAGCAAGGACTTTACTTTTGGTGGTCTTTTTCTGTTTTAAAATGTTTTTATTAACTCTTTGAAATGTTCATATAATATATTTTGATCATATTTCCCCTTACCCAACTCTTTCCAGATTGGTCCTCAAGACATGCTTTTTAAATCTTCTTAAGTGATCTTGACTATTAAGTTACCAAAATATCTAAAATATGTGTCACTCTCATGCCTAATCTGTTACAAACCCAAATGTATAGGCCAATGTTCCATCTAAGACTTGGGTGCTGTTGGCACTTGTGTCTATGACACCTCAATACTATGATGGGTGAGCCAGACATGATTCCAGCTCTCAGAGCTTACAGTCTAGCAAAAGATTACATACCCATGGAAGATCATTTTCATATTTTTGATAGTTTACAATCATCAGAATGAGCAGGGACTTGATCCAGAGGACTAGATGGTACACAAGAATATTTTTCAACAGCCATTTGAGAAAACTATGCAACTTTTAGATGCAACCACTGGAGGGTGTTTGCTTTTAATCCTTCCTTCCTGAACTAGGGAATTCATGTTCTCTGAATTCCGATTTGCGAGTGTAACCTGCAGAGGTTCTTAAAAAGACTCTTTGACAATTTTTCTTTTCCAACAACATTTCAGTGCTAGCTGAGCAGTCACCATGTCACGATTAACGAGTTTTTCCTTGGCATTTTTAGCACGCATTCAGGAAGTCGATGAAGTATATGAATAATATACTTGATTTACACATGAATGACAGAGTAGAACATTTTGGACCCAGTGTATGCATGTTATTAAAGAAGCTTCTGTGGTCTGAATTTGCAGCCATTGGTACAGATTTAACAGGTTATGCTATATAAATATAGACACATTCCTGTGGGGGAACCCAGTTACAATATTATAAGCCGTTTTTGTCCCTCACATCTCATTTAACATATATTGACCCAAGACTATACCTTCCTCCAAAAGTAGCAATTAGACTTTTGAGGACAATAAAAGCAAAATTCTTAAGATCTTTCTTGATGTAGAATGATAACTCTCTATGAATCAAATTAGTTTGAATGTCTCTCCCTTTCATGTATCTTTAGTCATTTTTCTGCCTCTCTCACAGTACTCCACTCAAGCCTGTCAACTCAAATTATTTCCAATGCCCAGAATTTTCAAGGTGTATGAATCTCAGTCTCTCTCTTTCTACCTCCTCTCTCTCTTTTTCTCCATTAATAATGCTCAGGAATAAAGATGTTGATCTTCTAGATGAATTGGAGTTGTCTACACTTTTACAACTTGCCTACTGGGAAAATTGTTGTGTAGCTACTATGAACCATTAGAGATGGGAATATTTGACACAAATATTTTCCCTAAATTCTGAAACTGAGTCTTTAGATTTGGGGCATTATTTTCCTGGCAGTAACTACATTTCCATTTGTGAGCCAATGGCCAAGATCTTCTTTATGTTTTCTCAGGTTAGGTGCCTAAATGTGGCAAGAATTTGTACTTTCCAGTAAAAATTTGGTCTATTTCTTCCCAGACTAGAAACATCTGTCCCTGAGAACAGTGAAAGCAACTTTGTTGCCAACAAGCATCTGTATGTCAGAAGTGACAAGCAACCAAATGAAGGCCAGATAGAAAACACCCTACTCAAACTGCCTAGAGACACAAACTTGAGAAGTAGAGATTTTCTCACCCTTGCAGCTGCTGAGTTTTGTGGTGTAAAGTACCCTACACAGAGCACATTGTGTTCATGGGGCCTAGTGGATCCTTAAGGAATGAACAGATGTGCTCTGAAGCTGACATGTGACCAACAGAACCCAGCTGTGCAACTGAGATCTTGAAATTGAGGACATTTTTTGGATGAGTACCATTTAGCCTCTTGGACCCATCTTATCTTAGAGTTTCTGCACAGATTATGAAACATTAAAATATAAAAAATTTATGGAATCAGGCTGAGGATCACTGATTTAAATGAGAAAAGAGCATTCTAAGACAAAGAGATAAAATGAAACTGAAGAATCAATCTTATAGTCTTTATTTACCTTTAAGAGAAAGAAAATACGCTCCTTAAAATGTATGTACAGTAATTATTAGCAATTGTGACTCAATCTTATTCTAGCAGAAGCACTGAACAAAAATATAATTGTGTAAATGGTAACTTAAAGAACAAAACAATCCTTCACAAGCATTACCTCAATTTCCCCTTTTCTTCATATAAATATTTGAAAGAACTCTACATGAATTATTTATGCATGACTGTGGCAGAGAAAGACACTAATGAGCTAAAATATTATTATTCATATAGCTGATCAACCCTGCCCCTTGAAATTATATTTTTAAATTTTATCTCAAATATCATTTTTACTTGTTTTCATGCTGAAATTTCTATGATGGCCTCGCATTCAAGAATCCTAGCACTTCTTCATGGATTTAAGGGGAAATTTTTATCTTATTTTATGTATTTGTTAAATGTTCCCTACTCACTCATCTAATCTTCAGTCTTTTAATGCTTAGGACTAGTCATGGGATTGTTCTGACAACGAAATGACAAATGACTGGGGAATACATCTGTTGTCAGATGATCCCTAGTCACTTCTGAAGTGAGGCATGCAAAAAATATGTTTGTGCATGGACCTGTAAGCATTGGACACCATTCAAGTAAGTTGTCCTGAGGGAGGAATAAAATCCTTTTCCAGGCAATCTAATGTCTGTGACCTAAAAAGTGTGAGGCAGAGGTGACATGTACAGCCAATAAA